CGTGGGTGTGTATGTGTGTACGTGGGTGTGTATGTGTGTACGTGGGTGTGTATGTGATTGTGTGGGTGTGTATGTGCTTGTGTGGGTGTGTATGTGTGTGCGTGGGTGTGTATGTGTGTGTGTGGGTGTGTATGTGTGTGCGTGTGTATGTATGTGCGTGCGTGTGCTCATTCTCGTGCGTCAGTGCTTGTTCCCGTTTACTTGCCGGTTAGACACGCGATGCTTAAGTGTGAAAGTAATTGGATTCTTCGACCGGCAACCATCCGTACACAACTCTCTCACACACGCACACGGACACACACACAGCCTCACCTAACAGTAACAATAACATCCACTCTCTCTCTCTCTCCTTCCAGGTCTATCAGCCACAACTCCATACGAAGTATCGAACCGGATGCCTGGAGCTTCTGTCCGTTGCTATGGGAACTGTGAGTATTGTATCCGCGGCGGTGGGGTCCGACGGGGATAGTCGGGAGAGCGGTGTGCGAGTGTGGGACCCGTAAGGGATGTTGGTGATGCGGAATGCGATTGATTATACGCGTGCGTGCTTGTGTTAACATCCGGCTTTCGTTTCGCAGCAAACTGGTGCACAACCAGCTGGTGGCTCTACCTACGGGCACGTTTGAGAAGCTTACGTCGCTGCTCTACTTGTACCTGGACGACAACAAACTGTCGAACATTGCCGAGGGAGCGTTCAAGGGGCTGTCCAAGCTACAGGAACTGTAAGTCTATACATACACACGCACACACACACACACACACACACATACATACATACATACATATATATTTTTTCTTCCATGTATTATGCCAGTATTATGCTACTGATAGTGTTGCCATGTGTACAATAATATAATGTTATTAGAATAGCAATAATAGTTACTAACGATGATTGAACTATGAACCACACAACCTTGCAATTAAATTATGATGATTGCTACACAATAATCTTGATGATTGCTTTTGGACAACGGTTACACATTGATAACAGTAATAGTACTAACAACAACAACAACAACAACAACAACCACATTAATTAACGCTCGTTAACGATGATTGTTCGTTAGGGAGATGAACGGTAACGACATCTCGTGGACGGTGGAGGACATGCAGGGTGCGTTCCACGGTCTCGAGCGTCTCATGCGACTCAGTCTCCGTAGCAACAATATCGACTCGATCGCTCGCCTAGCGTTCGCCGGCCTGCGCTCCGCACGCATGCTAGACCTCACAGACAACGCCATCACCAGCATCCCAGCAGGTTGCTCGTGTTGAAACGACTGCAATTAAACACACACATGAACGTTACATTTAACACAGCAATGCTTCATTATCCCATTGACCCGAACCCATAACCTTAACCAATAATCCATAACCCTAACCCTACCCAATAATCCATAACCCTAACCCTACCCAATAATCCATAACCCTATTCTAACTCTAACCCTGATTCTAACCCCAAATCGAACCCATATTCCTAACCCTAACACTAACCCATAATCATAACCCCAACCTATAACTCTAACCCTATCTATACACCTAATCTTAACAGCTAAACTCTAAGCCCGAACTCTACCCCACAAGCATACTCTCAACCCTAACCCTAATACATCGCTCCAATCAAACCCCCATCAACACCGATGCCTCACAGAGGGCAGCACGCGTCATCGCTCACACGTAGGTGGCGCCTGTGACACTCACATCTCGCGCAGTTGTTGCATGTCAGCGAACGCTCCTTCCTTGTGACTGTAACCTACGCTGGCTGCCTGACTGGCTGCGGCTGCACGACTTCCAGGACTTTGTGTGTGTGACGTGTGCGCATCCTCAGTGGCTGCAGAGCAAGGATGTGCTGGACATACAGTCACCAGACTTCATCTGCAGTGAGTGGCTAGTACTGGTGAATGAGGGAGAGAGAGACTGAGAGACTGAGAGAGAGAGAGACTGAGAGAGACTGAGAGAGAGAGAGAGATTGAGAGAGGGAGAGGGAGAGGGAGAGGGAGA